AAAAACCCCAATTTTATTTCAATGTACAAAAAAAAACAAACAGCAATTTGGCACTATTGTGGTATCAAAACAAACTCAGTATGTTATCAATTTTGCCCCAATCGAGCAATTGGAATTTTCGTGGTATCAAAACACCCCATCTGTATATAAAATGTATAACAATAAAAGAGCAGTTTGGGGAACGTCTGGTTATCGAAACAACACCCATCTGTATTCAGGTTAAACCAATCAAAGCAGCAGATGTGGAACTGTCTGTGTGTATCAGAAACAACACTCCAGTCATGTATATCAGATGTACGAACCAATCAAAGCAGCAGATGTGGAACTAGCTGAAAACTAATTTTATGACAGAGTTGACAAATAAACGACTAACCCCACACAAAATTTTCTTTTTTGGTTTAACTATCGTGGGTCATAAAATAGTTTTCCCTGTTCTTGGGGGCCCCAGAAAAATTTTTGCCTGTTCTGGTGGGCCATGAAACAATTTTTGCCTGTTCTGGTGGGCCATGAAACAATTTTTGCCTGTTCTGGTGGGCCATGAAACAATTTTTGCCAGTTCGGGGGGCCGAAAATTTTTTTGATCTGGTGGGCCACAAAACAGTTTTTGCCTGTTCTGGTGGGCCATGAAACGATTTTTGCCTGTTCTGGTGGGCCATGAAACGATTTTTGGCCTCAGGTGTAAAAAGATTGAGAAAACTGATCTAGAGGACCAGAAGACAAACAGTGACATCAATGACCAAGTAACAATCAGCATCATGCACTAAACTGTACAGACACAAACCTCAAAGTCAGCATGCTTCTGCACGTCCTCTGCCCTCATTCTGTTGAGAATAAACTCTGCCTCGCTGGCCACACGCACAATGTGATCACGGGTGGCGTGGGCTAGCAGCCTGCAACATCAAACAAAATTTTGCTCAACAGCTGCCAATAATCCTGTCATAGCTCCCACAACTACATCCGGATCAGCCTGCACAACTCTCTACTCTGTTTTCATTTCACTGCAAAACTCTCTGTCTTCAGTCAGTCCCAAAACTACACGTGATCTCACCACAACTACACAACTACTCTGTCTTCAGTCAGCTGCACAACTACTCTGTCTTCAGTCAGCTGCACAACTACTCTGTCTTCAGTCAGCTGCACAACTACTCTGTCTGTCTTCAACTACTCTGTCAGCTGCACAAACTACTCTGTCTTCAGTCAGCTGCACAACTACTCTGTCTTCAGTCAGCTGCACAATACTCTGTCTTCAGTCAGTCAGCTGCACAACTACTCTGTCATCAGTCAGCTGCACAACTACTCTGTCTTCAGTCAGCTGCACAACTACTCTGTCTTCAGTCAGCTGCACAACTACATCCGTGATCAGTCAGCTGCACAAATACTCTGTCTTTAGTCAGCTGCACAACTACTCTGTCTTCAGTCAGCTGCACAACTACTCTGTCTTCAGTCAGCTGCACAACTACTCTGTCATCAGTCAGCTGTCACAACTACTACTCAGCTGCACAACTACTCTTCATCAGTCAGCTGCACAACTACTCTGTCTTCATCAGTCAGCTGCACTGCACAAACTACCTGTAGTCTTCAGTCAGCTGCACAACTACTCTGTCTTCAGTCAGCTGCTGCACAACTACAAACTACCCTGTCTTCAGTCAGCTGCACAACTACTCTGTCATCAGTCAGCTGCACAACTACTCTGTCTTCAGTCAGCTGCACAACTACTCTGTCATCAGTCAGCTGCACAACTACTCTGTCTTCAGTCAGCTGCACAACTACTCTGTCTTCAGTCAGCTGCACAACTACTCTGTCTTCAGTCAGCTGCACAACTACTCTGTCTTCAGTCAGCTGCACAACTACATCCGTGATCAGTCAGCTGCACAACTACTCTGTCATCAGTCAGCTGCACAACTACTCTGTCTTCAGTCAGCTGCACAACTACTCTGTCTTCAGTCAGCTGCACAACTACTCTGTCATCAGTCAGCTGCACAACTACTCTGTCTTCAGTCAGCTGCACAACTACTCTGTCTTTAGTCAGCTGCACAACTACTCTGTCTTCAGTCAGCTGCACAACTACATCCGTGATCAGTCAGCTGCACAACTACTCTGTCTTCAGTCAGCTGCACAACTACTCTGTCTTCCAGTGTCAACTACTCTGTCTTCAGTCAGCTGCACAACTACTCTGTCTTCAGTCAGCTGCACAACTACTCTGTCATCAGTCAGCTGCACAACTACTCTGTCTTCAGTCAGCTGCACAACTACTCTGTCTTCAGTCAGCTGCACAACTACCCTGTCTTCAGTCAGCTGCACAACTACTCTGTCTTCAGTCAGCTGCACAACTACTCTGTCTTCAGTCAGCTGCACAACTACTCTGTCTTCAGTCAGCTGCACAACTACTCTGTCTTCAGTCAGCTGCACAACTACTCTGTCTTCAGTCAGCTGCAAAACTACTCTGTCATCAGTCAGCTGCACAACTACTCTGTCTTCAGTCAGCTGCACAACTACTCTGTCTTCAGTCAGCTGCACAAATACCCTGTCTTCAGTCAGCTGCACAACTACTCTGTCTTCAGTCAGCTGCACAACTACCCTGTCTTCAGTCAGCTGCACAACTACTCTGTCTTCAGTCAGCTGCACAACTACTCCGTCATCAGAAAAGTTAGTTCTGAATTGTGTACAGGACATTGCAGAACCAAGCCCAGCATTTCTTACTGTTGCGGTTTTCCTAGGCAAATTTGATATTTGGTAGTTTGCCATTGCTACAGAATGGTCAGCTCTATGTACTAGTGTTGAAACCAACGCAAAACAGTCTGCTGTCAAATCGTCTGTAGCTGTGATCAAGCCCGGCACCCCGACATTACAAAGTATGTGTTGCAACGCCTAAGCATAAATTGTAACAAGACTCGGAAGCCATGTTAGCGCAGTCCATAGGAGGCTCGCTTTCAAATCCAGCTGCGACATGCTGCAGCCAGGGTCGGTGTTCGAAACCGAGCGGTTCCTGGGGTTCACTCAGCCTCTAGGAAATGGGTACCAGAGTTGAGACTCTGGGGTGAATGGAGGAATGTCGCTGTAGCTACGGAGTTACTTGCGGCCGGACCAACAGGCGGACAGTTTCTAATCAGCTGTCTGTACTGGTGGCAGAGCACTTATGGTTTATAACAATGTGCAATGACACGGGTTCACATCTCCTGACTTCACCCTTTTTTGTGTGTGTAGCAAGACTAAAAAAAAGTCTTAACAATTAAAGATTGTAAGAAGACCAAACACACACAACAACTAAATATTGTAAGGAGATTTTTAAAAAGTCTTAACAATTAGATACTGTAAGGGGACTCAAAAATGTCCCGCAACAAAAGATTGTAAGGGGACTCAAAAATGTCCCGCAACAAAAGATTGTAAGGGGACTCAAAAATGTCCAGCAACTAAAGATTGTAAGGGGACTCTAAAAAGTCCAGCAACTAAAGATTGTAAGGAGACTCAAACAAGTCCAGTAACTAAAGATTGTAAGGAGACTCAAACAAGTCCAACAACTAAAGATTGTAAGGGGACTCTAAAAAGTCCAGCAACTAAAGATTGTAAGGAGACTCAAACAAGTCCAGTAACTAAAGATTGTAAGGAGACTCAAACAAGTCCAACAACTAAAGATTGTAAGGGGACTCAAAAATGTCCAGCAACTAAAGATTGTAAGGAGACTCAAACATGTCCAGCAACTAAAGCTTGTAAGGGGACTCAAACATGTCCAGCAACTAAAGATTGTAAGGGGACTCAAACATGTCCAACAACTAAAGATTGTAAGGGGACTCAAACAAGTCCAACAACTAAAGATTGTAAGGGGACTCAAACATGTCCAGCAACTAAAGATTGTAAGGGGACTCAAAAAAGTCCAGCAACTAAAGATTGTAAGGGGACTCAAACAAGTCCAACAACTAAAGATTGTAAGGGGACTCAAACATGTCCAACAACTAAAGATTGTAAGGGGACTCAAAAAAGTCCAGCAACTAAAGATTGTAAGGGGACTCAAACAAGTCCAGCAACTAAAGATTGTAAGGGGACTCAAACATGCCCAACAACTAAAGATTGTAAGGAGACTCAAAGAAGTCCAGCAACTAAAGATTGTAAGGGGACTCAAAAATGTCCAGCAACTAAAGATTGTAAGGGGACTCAAACAAGTCCAACAACTAAAGATTGTAAGGAGACTCAAACAAGTCCAGTAACTAAAGATTGTAAGGGGACTCTGAAAAGTCCAGCAACTAAAGATTGTAAGGGGACTCAAACAAGTCCAGTAACTAAAGATTGTAAGGGGACTCTGAAAAGTCCAGCAACTAAAGATTGTAAGGGGACTCAAACAAGTCAAGTAACTAAAGATTGTAAGGGGACTCTGAAAAGTCCAGTAACTAAAGATTGTAAGGAGACTCAAACAAGTCCAGCAACTAAAGATTATAAGGAGACTCAAACAAGTCCAGCAACTAAAGATTGTAAGGAGACTCAAACAAGTCCAGTAACTAAAGATTGTAAGGAGACTCAAACAAGTCCAGCAACTAAAGATTGTAAGGAGACTCAAACAAGTCCAGTAACTAAAGATTGTAAGGAGACTCAAACAAATCCAGCAACTAAAGATTGTAAGGAGACTAAAACAAGTCCAGTAACTAAAGATTGTAAGGAGACTCAAACAAGTCCAACAACTAAAGATTGTAAGGGGACTCAAACAAGTCCAGCAACTAAAGATTGTAAGGGGACTCAAACATGTCCAGCAACTAAAGATTGTAAGGGGACTCAAACAAGTCCAACAACTAAAGATTGTAAGGGGACTCAAACAAGTCCAACAACTAAAGATTGTAAGGGGACTCAAACAAGTCCAACAACTAAAGATTGTAAGGAGACTCAAACAAGTCCAGTAACTAAAGATTGTATGGAGACTCAAACATGTCCAGCAACTAAAGATTGTAAGGAGACTCAAACAAGTCCAACAACTAAAGATTGTAAGGGGACTCAAACAAGTCCAACAACTAAAGATTGTAAGGGGACTCAAACAAGTCCAGCAACTAAAGATTGTAAGGGGACTCCAACAACTAAAGATTGTAAGGAGACTCAAACAAGTCCAACAACTAAAGATTGTAAGGGGACTCAAAAATGTCCAGCAACTAAAGATTGTAAGGGGACTCAAACAAGTCCAACAACTAAAGATTGTAAGGGGACTCAAACAAGTCCAGCAACTAAAGATTGTAAGGAGACTCAAACAAGTCCAGTAACTAAAGATTGTAAGGAGACTCAAACATGTCCAGCAACTAAAGATTGTAAGGAGACTCAAACAAGTCCAGCAACTAAAGATTGTAAGGAGACTCAAACATGTCCAGCAACTAAAGATTGTAAGGAGACTCAAACAAGTCCAACAACTAAAGATTGTAAGGAGACTCAAACATGTCCAGTAACTAAAGATTGTAAGGAGACTCAAACAAGTCCAGCAACTAAAGATTGTAAGGGGACTCAAACATGTCCAGCAACTAAAGATTGTAAGGAGACTCAAACAAGTCCAGTAACTAAAGATTGTAAGGGGACTCTGAAAAGTCCAGCAATTAAAGATTGTAAGGAGACTCAAACAAGTCCAGCAACTAAAGATTGTAAGGGGACTCAAACAAGTCCAACAACTAAAGATTGTAAGGGGACTCAAACAAGTCCAGCAACTAAAGATTGTAAGGGGACTCAAACAAGTCCAACAACTAAAGATTGTAAAGAGACTCAAACATGTCCAGTAACTAAAGATTGTAAGGAGACTCAAACAAGTCCAGCAACTAAAGATTGTAAGAGACTCAAACAAGTCCAGTAACTAAAGATTGTAAGGAGACTCAAACATGTCCAGCAACTAAAGATTGTAAGGGGACTCAAACAAGTCCAACAACTAAAGATTGTAAGGGGACTCAAACAAGTCCAACAACTAAAGATTGTAAGGAGACTCAAACATGTCCAACAACTAAAGATTGTAAGGAGACTCAAACAAGTCCAACAACTAAAGATTGTAAGGAGACTCAAACAAGTCCAACAACTAAAGATTGTAAGGGGACTCAAACATGTCCAACAACTAAAGATTGTAAGGGGACTCAAACAAGTCCAACAACTAAAGATTGTAAGGAGACTCAAACAAGTCCAACAACTAAAGATTGTAAGGAGACTCAAACAAGTCCAACAACTAAAGATTGTAAGGAGACTCAAACAAGTTCAACAACTAAAGATTGTAAGGGGACTCAAACAAGTCCAGCAACTAAAGATTGTAAGGAGACTCAAACATGTCCAGCAACTAAAGATTGTAAGGGGACTCAAACATGTCCAACAACTAAAGATTGTAAGGGGACTCAAACAAGTCCAGTAACTAAAGATTGTAAGGAGACTCAAACATGTCCAACAACTAAAGATTGTAAGGGGACTCAAACATGTCCAACAACTAAAGATTGTAAGGGGACTCAAAAAAGTCCAGCAACTAAAGATTGTAAGGGGACTCAAACAAGTCCAACAACTAAAGATTGTAAGGGGACTCAAACATGTCCAACAACTAAAGATTGTAAGGGGACTAAAAAAAGTCCAGCAACTAAAGATTGTAAGGAGACTAAAACATGTCCAACAACTAAAGATTGTAAGGAGACTCAAAAATGTCCAACAACTAAAGATTGTAAGGAGACTCAAACAAGTCCAACAACTAAAGATTGTAAGGGGACTCAAACAAGTCCAACAACTAAAGATTGTAAGGGGACTCAAAAATGTCCAGCAACTAAAGATTGTAAGGGGACTCAAACAAGTCCAGCAACTAAAGATTGTAAGGGGACTCAAACATGTCCAACAACTAAAGATTGTAAGGAGACTCAAACATGTCCAGCAACTAAAGATTGTAAGGAGACTCAAACATGTCCAGCAACTAAAGATTGTAAGGGGACTCAAACAAGTCCAGTAACTAAAGATTGTAAGGGGACTCAAACAAGTCCAACAACTAAAGATTGTAAGGGGACTCAAACAAGTCCAACAACTAAAGATTGTAAGGGGACTCAAACAAGTCCAGTAACTAAAGATTGTAAGGGGACTCAAACATGTCCAGTAACTAAAGATTGTAAGGGGACTCAAACAAGTCCAGTAACTAAAGATTGTAAGGGGACTCAAACATGTCCAGCAACTAAAGATTGTAAGGGGACTCAAACAAGTCCAGTAACTAAAGATTGTAAGGGGACTCAAACAAGTCCAACAACTAAAGATTGTAAGGGGACTCAAACAAGTCCAACAACTAAAGATTGTAAGGGGACTCAAACAAGTCCAACAACTAAAGATTGTAAGGAGACTCAAAAAAGTCCAGCAACTAAAGATTGTAAGGGGACTCTAAAATGTCCAGCAACTAAAGATTGTAAGGAGACTCAAACAAGTCCAACAACTAAAGATTGTAAGGGGACTCAAGCAAGTCCAACAACTAAAGATTGTAAGGAAAGTTTGAAAAAGAAAAAAAAAATTACAGCTAAAGGAGACTCAAGTAAGCACAACAACTGAACTATTTCATTTCAGTGAAACAATCAGGTGCCATCTCCAGCAAGACAGTCGGCTGCAATGGATGTCCTGTGCTGGGTGTACATTTTCTCAGGCTGATGCTGGTCCACTGCTTGAAATTACCTGCCCATTTGTATCACTGACAACTTCTTGCTTCCTCTTCCCAATGTCTCCCCCTAGTTGGATGTATATGTCATGTGTTATACTTGTGGCCGCAGCATGTCAATTTTCTCTGGTTCAAAACTTCCATTAGCTATCTTTTTTTTCCAGCATTTCAATAATTCTACATCTGCAACTGTTTGCCTGTGACTGTGACCTGCTTGTCTGTGAATCCATATACCTAGCCTCTGACTGCAGTGTTCTAACTGCTTGTTCAATGTTCATGCTTCTGCCCCATGTAGCAGTCGACAACACTGACTGTGTCTGACAGCTCTTGTCATTTGTTGTGCTTTCCATGCCTTGGTCATTTTCTCAGGCAGGAAGAAACTCCAACAAGAGAATTGGAGGACAAATAGTGAAGATAATATTAATTAAATGATGTGCATAGATCTGTTTGCAGATACACACAATGGGCATGCACAGATCTATATGTGTAGACATAAGCAGCTACAAGACACAAGAAATATGGCAGGTATTATGAGGACATTTCACAAGGTCAAGGGCTCAAATACTTGATGATGTGTAGCTCTCCTGATGGTAGGAGATACTACAAACATCCCTGTCTCAACATCCCTGCCTCAACATCCCTGTCTCCACATCCCTGTCTCCACATCCCTGTCTCCACATGCCTGTCTCCACATCCCTGTCTCCACATCCCTGTCTCCACATCCCTGTCTCAACATCGCTGCCTCAACATCGCTGTCTCAACATCCCTGCCTCAACATCCCTGTCTCCACATCCCTGTCTCCACATCCCTGTCTCAACATCGCTGCCTCAACATCCCTGTCTGTCTCCACATCCCTGTCTCCACATCCCTGTCTCCACATCCCTGTCTCTACATTGCTGCCTCAACATCCCTGTCTCCACATCCCTGTCTCCACATCCCTGTCTCCACATCCCTGTCTCAACAACGCTGCCTCAACATCCCTGTCTCAACATCGCTGTCTCCACATCCCTGTCTCCACATCCCTGTCTCAACATCCCTGTCTCAACATCGCTGCCTCCACATCCCTGATGTAGTCCTCCGGATCTTGAAAAGTGATGAGCTCATAAACGGCCAGCCAACAAGTTCTGGTCCTTGTGTCTGTACACTGGACACATGGTGCCAGACTCACATTTGTGTAGACCAATCAGCACTTAATGGGTGATGTGGTCAACATCATACTGGCTGCCTTTACTTCCCAGGATGATTCCTGGTGCGCATTATTGGCTGTGTGGAGCTGAGAAAGTTGATGTAAACAAATGCTGTCTGCCAGCAGACAAGCATCTAGTGGCTGCTACAGGTCTTGCAATGACTGGTCCTGATGGCTACTGCCCCACTTGTTCCGCTGACAAACTTTCTGGCTACCAAAGAGTTAATTTTATACAAATGTCTGTTTAACTCTTTCCGTCCCATTGTCACTTACTCGGACATGAACTGTTTTTATTTGTGTGTGTGTGTGCGTGTGTGGGGCATGTGTGCATGTCTGTGTAGAGAAACAGCTGATAACAATCAAAAGAATCAAAGTAATAACTGTCCATAAAAGAAAAAGTTAAAATCTTTGCAGACATTCAAGCCAGCATGCACCATAAAACAGGGGAGTGAAGAGAAGGACAATCGTAGCTCTTACCTCCCTTCATTGACCAACTCAATAAAAGCCAGTCCGGCATGTTTCTGCAGGGAGTTTTGCCACTCCTGTGAGCATAGCAACATCACCAACTCAACCACTGAAGTACTCTGTTTCAAGGTCACCAGGCCTGGGGAATACCATAGAGATCAACAGTCAAAGTCTGTCTGCAGAACAGGACAGACACTAACTGTCCATTAAAGTCTGTCTGAAACACTGCCTCTTCTGACTGTTTAATTTGGTCAGAGAATACTACAGAAATCTGGCTACCACAGTGGCAAGTTTTAGTCTCTGATTTTTCAACTTTACATTTCCGTGACAGATCTGTATGACTAAAAGAAAAGATTTGAGTGTACTACTTTCTAGTACTGGAAAAGTAAAAAAGTTGACAGCTACACTGAGATATGATCACAAAAACACCAAGATCATGATCACAGGAACACCAAGATCATGATCACAAAAACACCAAGATCATGATCACAAAAACACCAAGATCATGATCACAAAAACACCAAGATCATGATCACAGGAACACCAAGATCATGATCACAGGAACACCAAGATCATGATCACAAAAACACCAAGATCATGATCACAAAAACACCAAGATCATGATCACAAAAACACCAAGATCATGATCACAAAAACACCAAGATCATGATCACAAGAACATCAAGATCATGATCACAAAAACACCAAGATCAATTATCACAAGAACACCAAGATCATGATCACAAAAACACCAAGATCATGATCACAAAAACACCAAGATCATGATCACAAAAACACCAAGATCATGATCACAAAAACACCCAGATCATGATCACAAAAACACCAAGATCATGATCACAAAAACACCAAGATCATGATCACAAAAACACCAAGATCATGATCACAAAAACACCAAGATCATGATCACAAAAACACCAAGATCATGATCACAAGAACACCAAGATCATGATCACAAAAACACCAAGATCATGATCACAAAAACACCAAGATCATGATCACAAAAACACCAAGATCATGACCACAAAAACACCAAGATCATGATCACAAAAACACCAAGATCATGATCACAAAAACACCAAGATCATGATCACAAAAACACCAAGATCATGATCACAAAAACACCAAGATCATGACCACAAAAACACCAAGATCATGATCACAAAAACACCAAGATCATGATCACAAAAACACCAAGATCATGATCACAAAAACACCAAGATCATGATCACAGGAACACCAAGATCATGATCACAAATCAAACAAGAAGGCGTGCAAGAATCCTCACCTCCGATCAGCAACTCCTGCCCGTGAGAACCGATGAGTGTTTTGGACAAGAAAGGAGCAAAATCCACAAACACTTCCCTCAGCAACGGAGCCACAGAGCCCAGGGCCCTCTCTAGCCGCTCGGTGAGGTTGCCGCAGTCGGCTGAGGTGTGGTGGGTCAAGCTGTGGATGGGTGGGCTGATGTTCAGTTCTAAGGCACTTGGTTTCTGTCCACTGTCTGCCCCGGCTTGTTGGTCTGTAACAGAAAACAGCATTAGGCCAACCTGGCACTGAACATGTACAATCATAAATTCCTGGCGTATTACGCCATGACAAAACATAGGAAGCCTTGGCTACAGTGAGAATATTTACCTTCCTCCGGTTCAGGAATATGCCAGAGTTCCCCCTCCCCTCCCCACATTAACCTAGATAAGTAGACACTGTTTTGCTGTTAGCAAGAGCACCACAGAGAATACCTAAATATCTCAGCAACTTAGAAGATGGCTCAATATGTGGTGGCTATGGCAGAAAATATGGCTTTTGAGCTTACAACAAGAAAATATGACTTACCAGTTAAAAAAATTACTGTAAAATATGCCTTTTAAGCTTGCAATTTACAGAAAATTTGAGTTTAAAAGTTACAGTAAAATATGGCTTTTAAGTTTACAAGATAAACCAAAATATGTCTTTTGATCAGTTTTTTATGTTAAAAAAAAAAAAAAGCCATGAATTAAGAAAACAATTAATGCCGCACTAGTAGATATGAAAATAGAATACTGGTTCCTAAACAGCATAATTTCTTGGCTGCAGTGGAAACAAGTCATCCTGTGTGTTGACACAGAGTTATCTGCCCCTGTCTGCCCAAGATCACAGTTCAACAGTTCAATCTTGTGTGTAGAGAAACAAGGATTGATGAAGGAATGAATGCAGCACAGGCTCCATAATCTGAGAGCTCTAGCACACTGTAACCTCCTCCACCCCCAGGAACAGGTATTCACTTTTGAAGTAAATGTTCAGACATTTCATAATGTTTCAAATATATAATTTTATTTATTTCCTATCACAACAAAATAATAAAATTTCTTATTACTAAGCACTTAAAAAAGGTTAAAATTCTTTTTTATTGGGGGGGGGGGGGGGGGGGGGGGCACTCTCTCCCCACCCAAGATTTCTTTTTAGTGGCACCCATGCAATGCGGTAATAAATGGATGAATGAACATAATGAATGGATTCATTAACGACTTGAAAGATGAATTCAGTGCTTTATGGGTGAATAAATGAAAGAATAAAAGAAATATGGAAACAAAGAAAGGAGCAATGAGTGAACAAAATTAATTATTCAATGAACGAAAGAATAAATAAACGAATCAATCAATCAATGGACACAAGAAATGTAGAATCCTACAAGAAATGTAACTAGAGCTGTGCAACTGCTAAAGACAGGTATGATGATGATGATGATGATGATGATGATGATGATGATGATGATGATGATGATGATAATGATAAAGAGAAGGTTACCTGCTGGCTTGTGTGAGACTGAGATGGAGGAGATGGGCAGTGAGTTCTGGCCAGACTCTTCACCTTCAGCCTAGTAAATACAACAATTGTTACTGCAACTTCAGCAATCAGTGGTACAACATTAGAAACCATGACTACAATACTGGCAACTGTTGTCATCATAAACAACACAAGCCTGAAATGTTTCTCTGAACATCTTTTAGTGCAGCTTCGGTGATTCTTTTAGACCAGGGCGATCGACTGGCAGCAGGCAGGCCAAATCTGGCTAACAAAACTTAGCAAGTGGCCCATGGATTATTGCAAACTGTAATGTATTCATTATCTTTCCAGGCTGTGGCACAACCCTCTGTCTGCGGTCCAACACTGAGGCTCCTGGGAAAACTCGGCTGAATGGCACTGCATTACCTTCTAGTGTCTCTCTTCATTTATGCACTTGTACCTTGTAATACGTCGGCTCTGTGGCTAAGTTGATGCGAACACATCATAATGCCGGGATGCCAGGTTCGATCCCAGCTGCGGGCCATGCGCCTGGTGTTGGTTTCGACAGTGGTATCAAGAAAGCCGACCGTCCAGAAAGCAATGGCAAACTTCTTCTTCTTCTTCTCTTCCACCCTGTACCTCATCAAAGTGTCGGGGGGAGATGTAATGTTCGTTGATGAGCTCTGTCAAGAGCACTATTAAGACTGATGTTCATTTCTGTAAGGCTGTTCTTAATGCCCTTACTTCATCTTTTCCGAGGTCTTCCACTCGCTCTATACCCGTTGTAACGTTTTAGTGTGGCTCGTTGTGGCGGATAGTACCAGGGCATTCTTGTTAGGTGTCCAAACCACTTCATTTGTTGTTCTTTGATGACCTGTAAGACTGGCTTTATTCCTAGCATTCGCCTGATTTCATGATTTCGTATTCTGTCTTTCCTTGAAACTCCTGCAGCTCTTCTAAGGCATTTCATCTCTGTTGTCACAATTTTACGTTCATTGGCAAACTACTGGTCATAAATTTGCCTAGAAAAACCACACAACAGCCAGGAGCTGTTGGGGTTGGTTCTGCAACATCCAGTAAAGGATATGCAACTAACCTTTAACCTTGTAATACACTGAATGTAACATTTACCTAGAAATAACACAACAACCAAAAAATGCTAGGGTTGGTTCTGAAAGGTCCTGTAAATGATACCCAACTAACTTCAATAACCTTGTAACACTATTTTGACATTTTTCTTCCATATCATGTCTTTCGGCATCTTTATTAGAATTCTTCTCCGTCTATAGTCTACATCTCCATTAGAATTCTTCTCCATCTATAGTCTACATCTCCATTAGAATACTTCTCTGTCTACAGTTTACATCTTCATTAGAATTCTTCTTTGTCTACAGTTTACATCTTCATTAGAATTCTTCTCTGTCTACAGTTTACATCTTCATTAGAATTCTTCTCTGTCTACAGTCTACATCTTCATTAGAATTCTTCTCTGTCTACAGTCTACATCTCCATTAGAAGAATTCTTCTTTGTCTACAGTCTACATCTCCATTAGTAGAATTCTTCTTTGTCTACAGTCTACATCTCCATTAGTAGAATTCTTCTCTGTCTACAGTCTACATCTCCATTATTAGAATTCTTCTCTGTCTACAGTTTACATCTTCATTAGAATTCCTCTCTGTCTATAGTTTACATCTCCATTAGAATTCCTCTCTTTCTATGGTTTACATCTTCATTAGAATTCCTCTCTGTCTATAGTCTACATCTTTATTAGAATTCCTCTCTGTCTATAGTCTACATCTTCATTAGAATTCCTCTCTGTCTATAGTCTAAATCTTTATGAGAATTCCTCTCTGTCTATAGTCTACATCTTCTATATAATTCCTCTCTGTCTATAGTCTACATCTTTATTATAATTCCTCTCTGTCTATAGTCTAAATCTTCTATATAATTCCTCTCTGTCTATAGTATACATCTTCATTAGAATTCCTCTTCATCTATAGTCTGCATCTCCATTAGAATTCTTCTATCTCTATGGTCTACATCTTCTTCAGGTTGCACTGTGCCTTTGATTTCACCATCTTTTTTCAATTGTTATTTTTAAATTAAACATTTTCTCATTCAGTCTCCCCTTTAACTCGACAATATTTCTTTGGATTATTATTCAATTTTACAATCTTTACAATGTTTTTTTTAAAAACCCAACTTACAGTATTTGCATCACAATTCTCTCTTGCACTCTGTAATATCTTTCTTTACCTCTCCTCTTGTACTGAGGCACATTTCTGTCACATCTGTTCACAATTAAACTGATATTTTCATTGCTTCTCTACTACCTTTGAGTGTTGTTCTGTCAGCCATCTTCCGTTCTCTTCAAAGAATCTTTCTTTGCTGTTCTCTATTGCTTAGTTTGCCTTCATTGCTGCGTCCCATCTACTTGGAGATAAATCACATCCTGACACCAAACCACAAACATTCACAGCAACCACTGGCAGGACTGCAGTTCTACCACAACCACATCTTTATTAACAATGTCACAAAAACATCTTTGAAACAATGTCCCCAAAACACATCTCTGAAACAATGTCCCCAAAACACATCTCTGAAACAATGTCCCCAAAACACATCTCTGAAACAATGTCACAAGAACAGATCTTTGAAACAATGTCACAAGAACAGATCTTTGAAACAATGTCACAGAAAAAACAAAGATTACCCAACTACACACTCACCCGCTCTGGCCTTGAATTTTGTCCAGATTTTTTGCTCTCTGAAATTCACAAAAAAACTTGTAAAAAGGTAAGCAAAGAATTTAAACATAAACTCATAAATGTAAAATCCACAGTAGACAAATCAAAAGCGGTACAAATGTTTCCCATGACATGCATAATAAATCCTAACTCCATGACATGGATAATAAATCCTAACTCCATGACATGGATAATAAATCCTAACTCCATGACATGGATAATAAATCCTAACTCCATGACATGGATCTGTAAATCCTAAAGGAATCCATGACATGGATAATAAATCTTAACTCCATGACTTAGATAATAAATCTTATCCATGCATGGATAATAAATCTTAACTCCATGACATAGATAAAAAAATCACATCCTGACATGGAATAATAAATCTTAACTCCATGACATAGATAATAAATCTTAACTCCATGACAAGATAATAAATCTTAACTGGCATGGACATAGATAATAAATTCCACAATCCATGACATAGATAATAAACCTTAACATGTCATGGATAATACATCCTAACTCCTGATGGATACAAATCTTAACTCCATGATATGGATAATAAATCCTAACTCCATGACATAGATAATGTAACTCCCATGGATAAAAAAATCAACTCCATCATGGATAATAAATCTTAACTCCATGACATGGATAATAAATCTTAACTCCATGACATGGATAATAAATCTTAACTCCATGACATAGATAATAAACCTTAACTCCATGACATGGATAATAAATTCTAACTCCATGGCATGGATAATAAATCTTAACTCCATGATATGGATAATAAATCCTAACTCCATGACATAGATAATAAACCCTAACTCCATGACATGGATAATAAATCTTAACTCCATGACATGGATAATAAATCCTAACTCCATGACATGGATAATAAATCCTAACTCCATGACATGGATAATAAATCCTAACTCCATGACATGGATAATAAATCCTAACTCCATGACATGGTTAATAAATCCTAACTCCATGACATGGATAATAAATCCTAACTCCATGGCATGATTAATAAATCAAAACTCCATGACATGGATAATAAATCCTAACTCCATGACATGGATAATAAATCCTAACTCCATGACATGGATAATAAATCCTAACTCCATGACATGAATAATAAATCCTAACTCCATGACATGGTTAATAAATCCTAACTCCATGACATGGATAATAAATCCTAACTCCATGGCATGGTTAATAAATCCTAACTAAATGACATGGATAATAAATCCTAACTCCATGACATGGATAATAAATCCTAACTCCATGGCATGGTTAATAAATCCTAACTCCATGACATGGATAATAAATCCTAACTCCATGACATGGATAATAAATCTTAACTCCATGACATGGATAATAAATCTTAACTCCATGACATGGATAATAAATCTTAACTCCATGACATGGATAATAAATCCTAACTCCATGACATGGATAATGCTCTTGACTTACCAGATTCCTCCTTCAAATCTACATCCTCCATGTTTGATTCATCCACACTAGTTGGACTCGCATCGTTGGCCTCCTTCTGTGCTTCTGCAGTCCTGACTTCTCCATTCTGTGTGCTGTGATCTTCTGATGCCTCGATCCTCACATCAGCATCTTCAGCAACAGTAGCAGCAGCAACAGCTGCTGGAGGAGCAACTTCGGTGCTGGCAACACTTTCAGCCTCACTCTTCTCCTCCGTGATTGTTTCCTCCAGCTCCTGCTCCTGCCTTGGCTCTTCTATGACAGCTTCTGTGACGATTTTCTGAACAGTGGATTCGGCTTCTAGAAAAAAACACAAAACCAGAGATTTAACAAGTTACAATATGTTTCTAATTATTTAAAACATGATTTGAATGTTGTAGGTTCAAATCGTGGACTGTCTCGCTCAGATCATTTGTGCAATTTTTTGCAGATTCCTGAGGATCATGGCTGGAACTTTGGAAATCCAATCACATCAGCCAATCTACCCAGTCATGATCTCGTCTGACACCTGCTATAGAAACCTGGCCAGTTACTTCAACATAAAGCCCTAAATTTGTTTTATGCCACATGTACACAAACTGTCTCTGTAAATGTTAGGATCATGTTTTATTTGATGTGGTGGTTGTACGTGTGCCGTGGAATCTCCGCAGCTGTGGAGTTCAGGGTCAATGTCAGAATTTGCTAGATTTGTTATCCAGTACCAAGAACATTCTCACATGTTGTCCACCTGGGAGTCAAGGTCATTTCTGCAGAGAGAAAAAAAAGTTAAGGCTCAGTTAGGACCTGAACCCACAATCTTCAGATCTGCAGGCTCTGGTCTAGCTGCTACACCACACTGGCTCCCATCATTAGCTGCTACACCACACTGGCTCCCATCATTAGCTGCTACACCACACTGGTGGCTCCCATCATTAGCTGCTACACCACACATTAGTTTACACCCCACAGGCTCCCATCATTAGCTGCTACACCACACTGGCTCCCATCATTAGCTGCTACACCACACTGGTGGCTCCCATCATTAGCTGCTACACCACACTGGCTCCCATCATTAGCTGCTACACCACACTGGTGGCTCCCATCATTAGCTGCTACACCACACTGGTGGCTCCCATCATTAGCTGCTACACCACACTGGTGGCTCCCATCATTAGCTGCTACACCACACTGGTGGCTCCCATCATTAGCTGCTACACCACACTGGCTCCCATCATTAGCTGCTACACCACACTGGCTCCCATCATTAGCTGCTACACCACACTGGTGGCTCCCATCATTAGCTGCTACACCACACTGGTGGCTCCCATCATTAGCTGCTACACCACACTGGCTCCCATCATTAGCTGCTACACCACACTGGTGGCTCCCATCATTAGCTGCTACACCACACTGGCTCCCATCATTAGCTGCTACACCACACTGGCTCCCATCATTAGCTGCTACCACCACACTGGTGGCTCCCATCATTAGCTGCTACACCACACTGGTGGCTCCCATCATTAGCTGCTACACCACACTGGCTCCCATCATTAGCTGCTACACCACACTAGTGGCTCCCATCATTAGCTGCTACACCACACTGGTGGCTCCCATCATTAGCTGCTACACCACACTGGTGGCTCCCATCATTAGCTGCTACACCACACTGGCTCCCATCATTAGCTGCTACTACCACACTGGCTCCCATCATTAGCTGCTACACCACACTGGTGGCTCCCATCATTAGCTGCTACACCACACTGGTGGCTCCCATCATTTAGCTGCTACACCACACTGGCTCCCATCATTAGCTGCTACACCACACTGGTGGCTCCCATCATTAGCTGCTACACCACACTGGCTCCCATCATTAGCTGCTACACCACACTGGCTCCCATCATTAGCTGCTACACCACACTGGTGGCTCCCATCATTAGCTGCTACACCACACTGGTGGCTCCCATCATTAGCTGCTACACCAGACTGGCTCCCATCATTAGCTGCTACACCACACTGGCTCCCATCATTAGCTGCTACACCACACTGGTGGCTCCCATCATTAGCTGCTACACCACACTGGTGGCTCCCATCATTAGCTGCTACACCACACTGGTGGCTCCCATCATTAGCTGCTATACCACACTGGTGGCTCCCATCATTAGCTGCTACACCACACTGGTGGCTCCCATCATTAGCTGCTACACCACACTGGTGGCTCCCATCATTAGCTGCTACACCACACTGGTGGCTCCCATCATTAGCTGCTACACCACACTGGCTCCCATCATTAGCTGCTACACCACACTGGTGGCTCCCATCATTAGCTGCTACACCACACTGGCTCCCATCATTAGCTGCTACACCACACTGGCTCCCATCATTAGCTGCTACACCACACTGGTGGCTCCCATCATTAGCTGCTACACCACACTGGCTCCCATCATTAGCTGCTACACCACACTGGCTCCCATCATTAGCTGCTACACCACACTGGTGGCTCCCTTGATTAGTTGCTACACCACACTGGCTCCCATCATTAGCTGCTACACCACACTGGTGGCTCCCATCATTAGCTGCTACACCACACTGGCTCCCATCATTAGCTGCTACACCACACTGGTGGCTCCCATCATTAGCTGCTACACCACACTGGTGGCTCCCATCATCCACATGTGGACACAGGAGCAAGTCAAGGGCCATCTTCCATGACTTGACGACTGGTGTCAGCCCCAGATTTGTACGGACCAACTGGTGCTTGATGGTTGATGCCTTCACTTCACAGAACATTTTCTATCGTTGAAATATTGTTGCGCTGGCTTGACCTGGGTCTTCCATTTTTGTGTGTGTTTTTGTTTGCTATTTTGTTCTTGTTTGTTGAATCAATCAATCAGTAAGTCCCCTGCAGGCAGCTAACTGGTCAATCCAAACATCACAACTGTTATGATTTCTCACAGACACCTGTCAACAAATGTCTTTACAGTGATTGGCATCATCATCATCATGCAGCAGATCCACTGCATTGCTCTCATCATGGCCCGCCTGAAAGAAAACAAGGCCTCCCGCCTAAAAGAAACTAGGTCTCCCGCCTGAAAGAAACCAGGTCTCCCGCTTGAAAGAAACCAGGTCTCCCGCCTGAAAGAAACCAGGTCTCCCGCCTGAAAGAAACCAGGTCTCCCGCCTGAAAGAAACCAGGTCTCCCGCCTGAAAGAAACCAGGTCTCCCGCCTGAAAGAAACCAGGTCTCGCGCCTGAAAGAAACCAGGTCTCCCGCCTGAAAGAAACCAGGTCTCCCGCCTGAAAGAAACCAGGTCTCGTGCCTGATAGAAACCAGGTCTCCCGCCTGAAAGAAACCAGGTCTCGCGCCTGAAAGAAACCAGGTCTCGCGCCTGAAAGAAACCTGGTCTCCCGCCTGAAAGAAACCAGGTCTCACGCCTGAAAGAAATTAGGTCTCCCGCCTGAAAGAAACTAGGTCTCCCGCCTGAAAGAAACTAGGTCTCCCGCCTGAAAGAAACCAGGTCTCCCGCCTGAAAGAAACCAGGTCTCCCGCCTGAAAGAAACCAGGTCTCGCGCCTGAAAGAAACCAGGTCTCCCGCCTGAAAGAAACCAGGTCTCGCGCCTGAAAGAAACCAGGTCTCGCGCCTGAAAGAAACCAGGTCTCGCGCCTGAAAGAAACCAGGTCTCCCGCCTGAAAGAAACCAGGTCTCGCGCCTGAAAGAAACCAGGTCTCGCGCCTGAAAGAAACCAGGTCTCCCGCCTGAAGGAAACCAGGTCTCGCGCCTGAAAGAAACCAGGTCTCCCGCCTGAAAGAAACCAGGTCTCCCGCCTGAAAGAAACCAGGTCTCGCGCCTGAAAGAAACCCAGGTCTCCCGCCCTGAAAGAAACCCAGGTCTCCCGCCTGAAAAGAAACCAGGTCTCGCGCCTGAAAGAAACCAGGTCTCGCGCCTGAAATAAAACCAGGTCTCGCGCCTGAAAAGAAACCAGGTCTCCCGCCTGAAAGAAACCAGGTCTCGCGCCTGAAAGAAACCAGGTCCACTCCCGCCTGAAAGAACCAGGTCTCCCGCCTGAAAGAAACCAGGTCTCCCGCCTGAAAGAAACTAGGTCTCCCGCCTGAAAGAAACTAGGTCTCCCGCCTGAAAGAAACTAGGTCTTCTGCCTGAAAGAAACTAGGTCTCCCGCCTGAAAGAAACCAGGTCTCGCACCTGAAAGAAACCAGGTCTCCCGCCTGAAAGAAACTAGGTCTCCCGCCTGAAAGAAACTAGGTCTCCCGCCTGAAAGAAACTAGGTCTCCCGCCTGAAAGAAACTAGGTCTCCCGCCTGAAAGAAACTAGGTCTCCCGCCTGAAAGAAACTAGGTCTCCCGCCTCGTGTCCCCTTTAACCCAAGGGTTCGCTTATATCCTGCGCCCGTGTTTGTGCTGGTTGGCCACTCCTTTCTGGAGCCGCGCCCTCTGTCATTATGTTTTCTCACTTTGCTCTGGACTTGACCTAGCCACAATGCCTCCACTTCACAGACAAGACGCTGTTTATCGGCCAATCTTTCTTGATGTTTGATCTCTTATGATGTCAGTATTTCTTTTCTTCTTTGTCAATGGAATTCTGAAAATCTTTCTACAGCATTTCAGCTCAAAAGCCCCTACTGAAGAAAGAGTATTTTGCCATGATGCTAAGATATAACTACCATCCCCCTACTATCCTGATATTTTATCTTATGTTGCTGTCCAATGTCATGAAATCACCTGCCTATCCCACCCTGGAGCCAATAGTAATGAACTATCTTGTTACCTGTCTCTTTGTCTGTTTCTTGTGTGGCCACACTCTCCTCATCTTCTCCAATGTCTCTTTTCATTGAGATCATCACTAGAGTCTCCTCCGTCCATCTTGTTGACATGAGTGGAGTCTGTATCTGTGGGAATGTTTTCCACATATTAGTCTCATTTTAGACAATTGTTTCATTAAACAAGTTTATCTGCACAATTTCCTGATCAACAATTTTTTTTGTATAGAGCTGGTGCGCATTCTTTTGTTTGTGTGCTGTTGTGACAAAGATACTTCAAGCGCCTCTGAATTTGTATTTCTTATTAAACAAGCCAGATTTGATAGATACATATAGCCTAATATTATTTAACAAACTCAACCAACTGGACATGAATGATACATAATATTGACTGTTCATGAGAAATAAACAAACAATCAGTGGTCAGACTTCAGAGAAAGTCAGCAAACACTCGGAGATACTTTCATCAGATGTTTCACATGCTAGAAGTTCAGTACAGTGGTAGGAGAACTGCCCAAGTGGACAGACAAAGGTCATCTTTCTGTAACTGGGGCCTAGTAGTGATGAATAAAAACTAGTAACAAGGTAGCATGTCCTAACAGGCAACTAGGGAAGGGAGGTTGACATGAGACTGAGTTGGTTTAAGGCCTCTGCTCTACTGCAGTTGAAAGGCAAAAGAAGAATAGAAAGTGGATGAAAATATGAGGAACCAAGAAGGAATCATGCCTCTCATGTCTACCAAAGTTAGAAAATGCTGGCTGGCAAACTGACATTCTAATGAATCTATAACTGTTGTGAGAGTGGTGATGATATCAGCTGGAGATGATGAAATATGAGACAAACTTTTGCTCTTGACACCTGAACTATTGTGCTGATGAGTTTTCAGCCGTGTCAATTTATGCTTCTGGTGCAGAAGTTCGGCACTGTGGCACTGTGGCACTGTGGCACTGTTACTGAACCCAA